TTCACATGTACCCCAAAACCTAAAATGCAATTAAAAAAAAAAGAAAATTGGAAAACAGACACATAAATAGAAGAAAAAAAAAAAGAAAATTGGAAAACAGACACATAAATAGAAGAAAAATCAAACAGCATTACTTTGAGTTAAACCCTTTGGACTCCTTGGTGGGTATAATTCCATACTCCCACTCCTTTTCTTTCTATGTAAGTGTGCGTGTGTGTGTGTGTGTGTGTGTGAGAGAGAGAGAGAGAGAGAGAGAGAGAGACAGAGAGAGAGAGAGAATCAGTATATATACAAATTTGTGATTTGTTTATATAATTAATAACTACATTTTCTATATCATGTACCAATAGCTATATTCTTTATTTTTACAACCTTATTTTTTATAGCCATATGGTACTCTACTATGTAGGTATATTCAAATGTATTTACCCAAATTCTATTATTAGACACTAGATTGTTTCTAATATTTGGTTGTTACAAATAGCATTTTGGTAAACATCCTTTTATGAACATCTTTCTACACTTTCTTAATTATTTCCTGAGGCTCAATTTCCAGAAAAGGAGTAACTAGGCCACAGGTCTGGACATTTTTATGTTTAATAATTACTGCCAAATTACTCTCCAAAAAGTATTGTAATCTGTACTCTGACTAATGGCATGTAAGAATGTCTCTTTTCCCTCACTAACAAAAATTAAATAATTAGTGTTCATTGTCTTGTTCTGGTTCTTACAATAACTCTATGGGGTAAACAGCAGATTAGGAGAAATGCTATTGGTCATACCTCCAGAAAGTAACAAGACTAGGAGCCAAGTTTCTTGACTTGCCTTGCTACATGCTTTTCTAACACATCCTTCTTGCCATCATACTGTCAATGGTGGCAATTCCAAGTGAACTGTCAGGAAAGAACCTAGACCAGGAATTCTTACACAAGCCACAGCCTGACTCATGCCTGTGTTGCTGGCAGTGCCCTGGCCTCCAGCCATGGGACTGTGGGTGGCACAATTCTTGTATTCTGAGAAAAAGGCAGCGTTGGCACACTGCTTGTTCAGGCCAGTGCTTAAGCCAATGGAGAAGGGAGGAGGTAAGGAAGTTGGAGTCAAAGAGGCAGTTGAGGGTGAGCAAATTATAGTCCTTGTAAGAACATGTCCTTAAAACTTTTCAATCCTTGCCCTGTATTATAAGTAAAATAGTTCAGGCCATCTATCTTACTGAATATTTTAAAAATGAGTCTGTTCTTACTATTTTTTAATTGTTCAATTCATTCATATCATTTAATTGGAAGAATTTTGTTTTTACTTTTACTTATACAAAACAAAGAGAGTCAAGTTCCCCTAAGTCAAAAGAGAAGAGGTACTGACGAAAAAATTCCCTTTTGAATAGAAAAACAAGAGGGCTTTTTTTCCCTTTCTTTTTTTGCATATCATATAGCATAATAAATTTTATTCAAATACTTAAAAAATTGAAAAAAAATGGCATTCAGTGCAATCATGTAGATGTTTGCAAAGTTCTTAAAACTATTTGGCTATAGTATTGTGTAAGAAAACTGTCATGCAAAAGTGAAAGCAATATTTGTTAAGGGTGAATAAACCAGGTATTCTAGCAGGCACTGTGGGTTACTAAGATAAACAGTTATAGGTTCTCTTTTAGGAACATTCATCTTGTAGAGGTAGAAGGACTGCTTTAAGAAGCTTCCTGATCACTAACCTTGGTTGAATCACTGTCTTCTGTGCTTGAACATCATTGTTTTTCCCACCTTATTAAATCTGCTTCATAAATTGAAGTAATCCATTTATTTGTCCATTGCACCCACTAGGCCATAAACTCCTAGAGGGCAGGAACTATGCCCTATTTTTTATAAGAGGCTATACGAAAGGCAGGCCATAGAAACTTGACAGACAGAATATAATATTATAGAAAATTTGTCACATTTTATCATTCAGGGGTAGTGATACGGTTTGGTCCTGTGTCCCCACCCAAATTTCATGTGGAATTTTTATCTCCACATGTCAGAGGAGGGACCTGGTGGGAGATGATTGGATCATGGGGGAGGATTTTCCCTCCCCATGCTGTTCTCATGATAGTGAGTGAGTTCTCACAAGATCTGATGATTTAAAAGCGTGGTGCTTCCCTTCTCTCTCTCTCTCTCTCTCTCTCTCCTGCCACCATGTAAGACGTGCCTTGCTTCCCCTTTGCCTTCTGCCATGATTGTAAGTTTCCTGAGGCCTCCCCAGTCATGTGGAACTATGAGTCAATTAAATCTACTGTCTTAATAATTTACCCAGTCTCAGGTAGTTCTTTATAGAAGCAGTGTGAAAATGGACTACTACAGGTAGAAATTATTATTTATTTTATCCATTGTCTTTCAACAATATTGGAATATACTTTTCAAATTGATTAAGGTAAGTGAAATAACATATAATCAATTTCAAGTTTTCATGAATTTTGTAAACTTTTACAAATCACTTAATTTTTGGCTTCAGTTTTTCTCATCTGTTAAGTAACACTGTCAGCCCAGACCAATTATTCTCAACTGATATTGAGGAGACTTACCCTGATATTCAGAGATGGGATAGAACACATTAGAATCTTCATTAAAGTATTTGTTGTTTGAAAACCATTTATTCAGTATAATTATATAATTTTATAGTTGGGATGAAAAAAGAAAGGCACTATTTCTGTAATATTAAACAATAGAAGGAAAATCCTGGAAAATGTTGGCTCCCGGTTTTCTCAGAGGTTAAAGGCTAAACGATTCCAGGAGGTTGTATAAAATCTTTGAGGTACCTGTGGTAGGGGCTCTAACGCATTCTCTTTTACGTTATTCAATGAACTAAATAAAGGTGAAAGATACTGCATTCCAAGAAGCTCCTATCACCTAACTTTTATCATGGCTCACATATACCTTGTTTTTCTATGGATATGTTGGAGGAGCTCAGTAACCTTTTCTGTTGTCTCTTTAAATTTGTCTTATTTTGAAGAAAGGTAAAACTATAGATCACATTAATATTAGGCTCAGAAATACCATGAAGATAAGTAAACCAAACATTGCAAGTTATCCAAGTGTCTCAGTGTAGACCTGTTGTTATTTCATTTACCTGGCCACATGATCAAAGAGAGGCTGATAGTTTAGTTTAGGTGTGGCTCAGAAGATTGTGTGAGAGAACTGAAACTCACTCTAGCATGTTTGGGTGACTGAGTGCTCTATTTTTAAGGGATTAGAAGCTATTTCTCATGGAGTTTGGATTTTTCATGTGAAGGAGGTTTTTTAAAGGGTTAATTAACTATTTGCTGTTTGGCATCTCAAGATTTCCCCATACAATAAAATGCTTCCTGGTCACAACCCTCGTGATATTTATATACATTTCTGGTTATGAATATCCACAAATACAACAAAAGTATAAAGTGGTTTGAAATACCCAATTAAAAAAAATTTTTTTGAGCTGGATTCTTGCTCTGTTGCCCAGGCTAGAGTACAGTGGCACAATCTCAGCTCACTGCAACCTCTGCCTCCTGGGTTCAAGTGACTCTTCTGCCTCAGCCTCCTGAGTAGCTGGGATTATAGGCATGCACCACCAGGCCTGGCTAATTTTTATATTTTTAGTAGAGATAGCGTTTTGCCATTTTGGCCAGGCTGGTCTCGAGCTCCTGGCCTCAGGTGATCTTCCTGCATAGCCTCCCAGAGTGCTAGGATTACAGGCATGAGCCACTACTGCACCCAGCCAAAATACCCAATTAAAATTTAAAAACAAAATAACAAGGGAAGTGTTAGCCCATTTCAGGGGTTGATACACAAGTTAATTCTTGCCGTCCCCACTTCTCTGTGGCTCTCCTCCTCTTGTTAGTTGTGGAGACAGCTGTGTTATTTATATTCTGTGGCTGTCAGAAGCCTGCTCCATGCTCCTCAACCCATGTGGTACCCTGATGACTTGGTCACAGTCTAGTTGTCACAGGATTCCATGAGAGCTTGATCCTCCTCACACCAGTTGCAGGCCAGGCTTGGGCTCCTTTACCCCTCCACTTTGCCTGTATGTACCTCAGGTGTGCAGAAGCAGAACCTATTTTTCCTGTCTTTTTATTTTAAGTTCTAATTCTAAACTGCTATGTAGCTCTAGACTAAGTGGGGCATTGTTAAATGGATAGTAGTCTATAGACTTCGAGTAACATTAAAAAAATATACATTTAGCCCTAAATCTTGAAGTATCTCTGTCAGTTTGGGTCCTCTAAAAAGCAGCTATCAAAATGGGATTATATGGGCAAGAGATTTATTGGGAACAATGGGCAGAGAGCATGAGGGGGCAGGGACAGCCTTCAGCCCCTGATGCGGGTCTGGGAAAGGAGAACAAGAAGGAAGGATGGAGTTGGGAGCAGCCTCAGACCGAAGTACAGTTCTGAGAATGTCTCGGCCAGGCCAGTGTGGATCCCTGGGCTCTAAGACCTGAAGCTTCTCATTAGAGGAGTTTTGTGTCAGGCAGAGGTGACCTGGCCCTACTACTCCCACTGCACTATGCCATTATCTGGGAGCAGCCAGTGGAAAGCAGCACCTGGTTTGAATGCTGCAATCAGCTTAAAGGTGGGGCATCAGAAGGCTGTCAGCCAGCTCTCTTTCCTGCCGTGGGTCCTCTGGAAGGAAGATTTGAATGGGAAAGCTCCATGGTCACTACAGTACCCACAGGTGTACCCTTTTATCCCAGGACCCTTGGCCTCACTCCCTCTGCTCTTTGTTCCCCTCTCTAGACCAACTTATGGCAAAGTGTAAAAGGAGGTGACTCATCCCTTTCCTAGACTCTCAGTCCCCACAGAGCAAGTTTGGATAGGGAATTTATACCTCTGGAGGCTCACCTTTGTTTGCTTCTATTTTCTAGCCAATAAAACCATTGCTTATTAATTCTAATTCCACAAACATTTCAGTGCTGAAATTCCCAGCACCAAGTTAAATACAGAGAACGTAAGATAAATAAGACATCTAAATGGGCTCACAGCCTAGAGAGGGTTATGTACACTTTAGCAGAAATTTTAATAATATGATAAGAAGAGAAATAGACTAAATAGGAAGTGAACTCTGCCACTGACTCTGGGAAAAGTCTGAGCAAACTCTTCAGGGGCAAATACAGCTTACTCAGACAAAAAAGGCAGTCAGTGGCAAGTCTAGGCAGAAGCCAGGAGGTGTTAGGAACAGACTAGAAGACACGGTTGTTCTGGAGGAAAAAGGGTAAAACTTAAGAGGTAAGCAGTATACAAATTTATGCTAGAAAATTTCTTTTTTCTTTTTCCTTCCTATTCAGAGGTCAGTGCTTGGAAACTTGTACTTAATTTTGTCAATAGTGTCACATGTGTATTTTCTGAGTGCAAAGAGGATTTGGAGAGGCAAGACTAGAGAGCAGGAGGAAGCCATTGCCTACTAAATATTTATTTATATCCATTCATTGATGTATTGGTAAGAGGGCAGGAGTCCTGGGGAACAAATACCTCATTTACACTCCAAACACTCAGGTTCTGATCTGCATGTCATGGCTTATCATAGTGTAAGCCAGTTATGTAACTCTAGAAATGGAAGTTTCTGTTGTTTATAAACTGGAAATAATGATACATGTCCTGACTCCTGTTGGGTTGTTGCAAAGGAATCAATTGAAATAAGACAAGACTTTCTGAAGGCACTTTGCCAACTTTCAGAACTGTAAAAATTAAGGGACTGCTACTATGTGCTGTTAAGGAAATAACAGGCACCTGGGAAAACCCACCAAGTAAGGTTTTGTAAGAAGTTGCTCTGCTCCCCGCGAGAAAATGCCGAGCTCAACAGGCCAAGAGGAACAAGTCTGGGAAATTACGACATGAGGTAAAGCAAATGGGACTTTTTGTTTTGTTTTTGGATACCACAATTTCTTACATGTCATTCTTATTGTTTACCCTTCCCTACCATTGGTGGTTTGAAATGGGAGGAAGTTGGGTTAGAGAGTATTAATAAAGCAAGGGAGATGGTTAAAATCTACTTGATGTAAAAATAAACAGAAGCACTTTAGTGTGGGGAGGATCAAATGCTATACATTTGTTATGTGGAAAACAAACCCAGCTTTGTGGTGAATCAGAAAACTTTTCTGCTTTCATGGAATACTGTCCTCTCAAACTCCCTGGGAGAAGCAGAAGTACATTATCAGATAAATCTAACTTGCCCTAATGCTTCTCTGCTGGAAGATTTAAAAAAATATCTCTCGTACTAGCTTTACTTTGTTGATGGTTTGTTGGATTGTCTATGAGAAGACCACTGAGAATATTTTCAATCTACTCAGCACTGATGGGAACCAGAGGCCACAGGTGTTCTTATCAACATATGTATAAAGTCATGGAGAGTCTCCATGTCAACAATCCTGCTAAAGAGGCCACTCCTGGAGTAGCAGGATCTCCGGCTACTAAAGTGATCATCTATTCTCTAAGCACTATTTAATAGAGAAATCAGCAGGAATATTTATATATGAGTTGAGACAACTGGTTGATTCATATATGTTAATTACTTTTTCTTGAATATTTGCTCACAGGACAGACTGATCTTTGCTGTTTTACACAAACAAACAAAAAATGAAATGACATTTTTAGCCTATCATATATCCTGTAAAAGATGTTTTGGAAAATAATTTTCAAAAGAAGTGGGTGGCTGACACTAGAGATTGACTTACTTAATATAAACAACAACCACTTCTGGTTTCTCTTATTGCATTTTAGAGTATGGAAAGCTAACAATGTAACTCTCCCAAAGCTCTTGCACTTTGAATTTGAGGAGTGAGCTGGGCTCTGTCATGCAAAGGCAAATATTAATTTTCTATTGCTGCACGCTCAGATTAAGAACTTATAATAACATCGTTTGGCTCACAGCTTCTGCATATCAGGAGTATGGGCATGGATTAGCTAATCCTCTGCACACGCTCTCATAAGGCTGAAATCAAGGTGTTAGCCAGGGCTACAATCTTATCAGTATCATTTTCCAAGCTCTTTGGTTGTTAGCAGAATTAAGTTTCTGTAGTTGTGGGTCTGAAGTCTTTGCTTCTTGCTGGCTATCAATTAGGAATCATTCACAGCTCCTAGAGGCTTCTTGCCATCTTCTACCACGTGACCCTCCCCACAACATAGCCGTTTCCTCCTTCAGAATCAACAGGAAAATGCCTTTGGCTTTGAATCTCTTTTGTTTTAACTGCTCACCTGATTAGGTCAGGCTCACCCAAAATAATCTCAGTCTTGATTAATTCACAGCCAACTAACTGGAAGCCTTAATTATATTTGCAAAATCCTTTTTTGCCACATGCTAATACATAATTATGGGAGTGACAACACATTGTATTCACATGTCCTGCTCACATTCAAGGAGAGATTATTGTAAAGGGTGTATACGTCAGGGGGCAGGAATCTTGGGGAGCATCTCAGAATTCTGCCTACCACAATGTGCTGCATGGGGCAGAAGTAAGCAAGGTGAGGTAACGTACACACGTGGGGAAACTGTAGCGTTCAGCAAGCACAGTGGCATGGGCAGAGCTTCTGGGAGCTTTAGTGGAGTTTTCACTTCTGTTTTCTAGTGCCATGTGAGCCAAAAAGTCAGCAGCAGCAGCAGAGGTGTTTTTGTTAGGACAACTGATGTGGTTGGGCATTTTTCCTGGGTTTTCCTTGGTACCATTTAAGACCTTTTTTTTTTTTTTCGGTCTTCAATTACATGATATAAACTACTGGTTATAATAAATACCCTTCTGCTTAAACTATCTATAGCGAATACCTTTATATGCAATATAAATCCTTTATTGCTACTATAAGATCATCAATTGGACCTCTTTTTATATCTCCATTAAAGTGTGTAATTCTGCATTGTTTTTGTAAATTCATAGAACTTTAGAGCAGGAAGGAAACTTCTGCTTCTAGAAAGAGTTTTTGAACTATATTCTATAGAAATTTATAGCTCAAGTTATAGGCTTTTTTGGGGTGGGGAGTATTCAACAGTCATGCTAACTTGGGATATATTATACACTCTTAGAACTTATAATAATATCCATTAACATATTAAAGACTCAGAGATCCTACAGGGAAAAAATGACAAAAAGCCTAAATTCAGCTATCTAAGCTGGGTGCGGTGGCTTACGCCTATAATTCCAGCACTTTGGGAGGTTGAGGCGGGTGGATTACTGGAGGTCAGTGAGTTCGAGACCAGCCTGGCCAATATGATGAAATGCCTGTCTCTACCAAAAATACAAAAATTAACTGAGCATAGTGGCACACGCCTGTAATTGCTTGAAATCAAGAGGCAGGAGAATCGCTTGAACCCTAGAGGCAGAGGTTGCAGTGAGCCGAGATTGTGCCATTGCACTTCAGGCTGGATGACGGAGCAAGACTGTCTCAAAAAAAAACCCCATTAGACTCTTTCATTCCAACCAAGGCTTCCCAAACCAAAGCGCAGATACCAAAATCTACTGGTGGGTTAGTGGTAGAATGAAGACTTTAAACCATGCTAAGGAAGCTTCCTGACTCCCAGGAACATAAAGCTTATTTGTTACTCCCTACATTTTCCTGAGAAGTAAACTTCAGTGAATATGAACACAGCCTCAGGAGGAAGCAAAACATATCAACATAGCTAGTTCTGGCAACTCTATCCATGATGTATCAATGAGACCTGCCGTATCTCTTTGAGGAGCTTGCAATGCCATGTATGTTCACCCACACACCACTTAGCAGAAGGTAACTGCCCAGAGAGTAGGCCAAAGTAGATGTTCTCCTACCTCAGTCACTCACATGAGCACCCTTCCTAGGTATCAAGACCAAGGGCTCCCAGGCCGCAGGAAAATGGGACTTGTGAAATTAGGCTCCAGGACATTTTGCTAACTGTAGTGCAATTATTAGACATTCTAGGTCTAGGATTTGATAGGAAATAAATTGCTCTAAAATAAGTCCAAAATTAAAAAGAAAAAAATGTATTAGGGCCACCACAAAAGGCAATACAAATTGAGTACATAAGAGAAACCTGATTCCTGAATCAGAATGCTTGTGAGCACATGCCTCCCACATTCCATAACACAAATCACATCACATACAGCTGACCAAGACAGAAGAGCTTCCAGGAGGTGCATATTTTCAGCATGAAAACAAAGAGCCATTCGTGTTGTAAGCACAGCTTATGGTCAGCTGGCTGACCTGATACACCTCGGCTTTTATTGTTCCCCAAGGCCACATGGTTGGATCTTGCAGAGGCCGGGAGTGAGTGTGGACGTGTCCAAGCAGCTTTAGACCTCGAGGACCCCCTTTGCTGTTTTTGGAAGGAACTTCAATTGCATAAAGAATCTATGTTCCACCACACTTTTATTATTAGGAAAAAAAATTCCCCTTCAGGGCAGAGAGGTAGAATCACAAGCTAGACTTCTGCCAGTTTCCCTCTCCGCTCCACAGTTTTCTCTTCCTTTCCTTGGTAGGTACATTTGTAAAAAGACTGGTACACTGGTTAAAAACGGAAACCAAAACCTGGCAAACAATCCTCACAGCAATGTTTTGTAGCCACTCAGACCCGTAAAAGAAACGAGATCTTGGTCAGGCATGGTGGTTCGTGCCTGTAATCCCAATACTTTGGGAAGCCGAGATGGGCAGATCATCTGAGGTCAGGAGTTCGAGACCAGCCTGGCCAACATGGCGAAACCCCACCTCTACTAAAAATACAAAAATTAGCTGGGCGTGAAGGCTGGCATCTGTTATCTCAGCTACTCAGAAGGCTGAGGTAGGGAGAATTGCTCGAACCAGGGAGGACTGCTGTATAGTACTCCAGCCTGGACAACACAGCAAGACTCCATCTCAAAAAAAAAAAAAAAAAAAAAAAAACAGAAAAGAAAAAGGAAAAGAAATCAAACAGAAATGAAATCATAAATGAACCAGCCACTACATTAGTCATAAAGGGACTCAAACCACAACAGACACCTACTACAATTCTATGGGAAAAGTTTCCACATACGTGCAATTCTCTGAGGTTTGTGGTATTTCCCAGGGCTCCAGCTGAGGAATGACTGCAGCTGAATCCTATGAAAGGCTCTCAGGCTTTGTGGAGCTGCATTTATTGTTCTTAAGGAGTTAGGAAAAGATAGTTTAGGAGTTTTGGTAATGGCATAAAGCAGTTTTGTTTTATTTTTACATGCCTCAGTCTGTTGAATAGACCATTCTCTGGCTTTTTTGTTTCAGCTGTTGAGCCTCAACGTAGAGGTTTTCAAGGCTATCAGGCCAGTTGAAGTTGGTTGTAGGAATACTCTTGAGGACTACTAAAAAAAATCTTGCTTTTTTTAAAACTTGGCAATGTAAGCATCCAAGAAATGGGACATATTTCAGCTTTTAACTATTATTCTGTGATATGTTTAGAGAGGAACAAAATAATTGTCAAAATGCTTTCCAAGCTCTAAGTATTGGCTTGTTATTTACCAAAATAAATAAATAAATAAATAAATAAGATTGGAAATGATATTCTCCTTTGTTATTTATCCTCAAAACTCAGCTCAAACTATAGATTAGCCTATAATCGATGAAATGCTATGGGTATGTAAGGCCTAAAGGTTTAAAACATAGTCAATGTTGCTTTGTTAGATTGTATATAACCAGTAGACACACATGGGATTTTTAGACACATATTTTTCTGTTTAGGTTATATGTCTGATACGTACATCAGGAAAGCCCAGAAAATTCTGAAACTGTTAGTTGCTTACTGCCCGTATAGTGCTTCTTTTTTCAGTATTACACAAATTTCACCAGAAGGTGTCTGATACCTGCTCCCCATTCCAGCATGACATGAGACTTCACTGTACTTGAAACTCACTAGTTACATATTCTTTTTTT